GGGGGGGGGGGGGGGGGGGGGGGGGGGGGGGGGGGGGGGGGGGGGGGGGGGGGGGGGGGGGGGGGGGGGGGGGGGGGGGGGGGGGGGGGGGGGGGGGGGGGGGGGGGGGGGGGGGGGGGGGGGGGGGGGGGGGGGGGGGGGGGGGGGGGGGGGGGGGGGGGGGGGGGGGGGGGGGGGGGGGGGGGGGGGGGGGGGGGGGGGGAAGGGGGGGGGGGGGTTAACTGCATCAGAGTATTTGAACTATATATCTCATTAAAGTACATTATATGTGCCTTTAAATACATATATTTGCATGCATCAAAAGTGGAATTAGACCATTTCCTATTTAATCTCATCACCACTGCAATAACACACTGCTCTTGAATAGATGTTGTGTAACTAAGTATGACAAATCCCATTATGAAATCAGTATGAATTACATGTTGCATTTTGTTCAACATTTTGCAAAAAGTTACAATTTTGGGAGTGTGCAGATAAATTTTTTCTTTCCTTCTTTATTCCTTTCTCTCTTTCTCATTTGCTTTAACATGAAAGAATAGTACAACCAGAGATGTGCCTCAGAATCCATGGTCCTAAAACATTAATAGACATGCCTTGCATACTGCAAGTTTAATATCATAAACTTATTCTGCTCAAGATCTTTAAATTTATACATACTGTATCCATGTATAAAAGGAGAATGTACTGATATACAGTGAAAGATAAAGGTTGGTGAGGATTAACAATAAAAAAAAAACTTTTTATTTCATTTAAACATCAAAATTATTATTCTCTTTCTTCTTTAATTGTGTTTTTTTTTTACTTTATCAAGTCAACTGCTAAAGAATCTGGGTAATGAAGACAAGAGCTATATATATATTCTTTTTAATACAGAAGCTTTATACTTTAAAAGATATACAGTGGGAAGATATAGTATGTATTATATCATTTATATTGCTAAAACACTTTTGATCAATATAATCATTATCTCTCACTATTGCTCTCGTTATCTCGCTATCTCACTATCTCACTCTCTCGCTCTCTCGCTCTATCACTCTCTTGCTCTCTTACTCTCTTACTCTCTCACTCTCTCACACTCACACTAACACTAACTCACATTTACATTAACTCACACTCGCACACTCGCACACTCACACTAACTCACACACTCACACTAACACACTCACACTAACTCACACTTCACACACTAACTCACACACTTAGACTAACTCACACACTCTCACTAACTCACACACTCTCACTTGGTTGCTCTTACACACTCTCACTTACACACACTCACTCTCACTCTCTCTTATATATCATAGAGACCCAAATTAGGACAACATATCAAAATGATACATATCAAATAGTAGGAACAAAAATTATAAGACTCAGTAACCCAACTTGATAAATATCTGTACATGACACTACATTAATTAATTTTTTGAACTAGATGAATTAGAAACATTTCTTTAAGTTCTATTTTACTGGTCCACTTCTCTGGCTAAAAAAAAATCATCTATAGTAGAATGCATTACAACAAGGTTTTAATGATCTTTTTCATCTGTTCATTTATTTTCTTACAATATTTTCTTTTTCTTACTAGAATTATGTTGCCATGTGTTTGTCATATAATATTTGAAATCAATATATTTTTATTAATCTAAAGAAAAAAAAAAGTAACCTTAATAGTTATAACTTTAACTTAAACAACTAGCAAGAGGCAGAAAAAAAAATTGAGGTGAAACAAAAAAGACATAAAACAGGTTACACACTATGAAAACAATATACATATTAACCCTATGCCGAAGGACATCATGTGTACGTATGTCCTATGCCCACTGTGAGTGCTTGTTTGATTGTTTTTACTCATAGATGGCTACACTTGTAGTAAGTCACCAATGAGCCAGTTACATGTACTGCCTGTCTCGCCTGTTTACTCTTTTCTTTGATTTACGAAAATATTTTATGTTATCTTATTTTGCTGTTACTAATGTTAAAAACATTATAATAATTATAATGTTTATAATAAAAATAACACCATCGATATTCATAGCACTAGTAAAAAATGTTTTTCCCACCAATGCAAATCAGGTACAGTCACAAGGTCTACTAATTGACTCCTTTGTGGCTAAGCACTAGCAGAGCAATCTATGGGCAGACATTTCACAAAATATGTAGAAAATAGGCATGGCATTTTCTCCATTTTTTGTTCATTTTCCCTGGCAGCATTGGGTTAATCAATATCCGACCAAGAATGTATAATGAAATGGCAAGGAACACAGCATGATTTTTAAGTAATCAAAATGATACTGAAATAAAATCAAGTTACATCACCAACACAGTATCTTCCATCCTTCTACAAAATGATAGCAAAAACACAGAATCATGTCAACTTTCACCCTAAACGACCTGACAAAGAATGAGAAACCTAAAATTTGACAAGAGGTCCTTACTCCTTACATCAAGAAGTATTAGAGTTATCCTTTGTAATAATGTCACAATGATTATAGGAATAGAACATGCATCGTTGGTCTGATAGTCTGGCACCACTGTGGAATTATTAAGAGTTGGAATTCTGAACAACCATGTATTTTCACATTTATATAAGCACTACATATGTAACAGTACTTGCCTGAACATCACCTGACTCAACAAAATAAGAATTGACCATTTTTTTTCCTCGTTGCAGGGTATGTTGCATAAACATTCATTAAAATGTTTAGAAACAGATTAAGACACCACCATACACAGGAAGGAAATCTGTAAGCAGCCCCTTCATATTACTGAAAAAGTTATTTTCTAATGAAACAAGATGTCTCTTATTACTGCCATGCAAAATGGAGTTCATGTTAAGTCTACAATTATTTTCTTTATTTTACAAAATATAATAGATGGATTACTGTCTGTAAATGCTTGGCCCAAACTAGCTCTTTATTAGTTAATATACGGTTTTGCAGTAATCACACAGTATCTTTCATACCTTCATATCATGTCTTATAGATAATGAAAAGTAGCAGTCATTTACAACTGAAGTTTATATCTCACTTTCCACAAATGACTTAATAATATCTAAACATATAGTTATGTGTTCTTACTATCAAAGAATAACCACATTCTTTATCTCTGCTCACATCAGTAACCACTACAACTAGTGATTGTGGTGAAGATGGTGACAACAGAAGAAAGAAAGAAAGACAGAAAGAGAAAAAATGATAAAAATGAAATAGAGAAAGAGAGAGAGAGAAAGAAAGAAAGAAAAAAGAGAGAAAGAAAGAAAGAAGGAGAGAGAGAGAGAGAGAGAGAAAAAAAGAAAGAAAGAAAGAAAGAAAGAAAGAAAGAAAGAAAGAAAGAACGAAAGAAAGAAAAGGCATGCTGGACATTAGTATTCGTTACAACACGCCAAACATTTCTGGTTAATGCACTACACTGGGAGATGTCAAACCACCAGAAAATCTAGCAGAAACAAATACTGTGCTACTGGAATTGTACTGTGCATTTAAACTGAACACAATCATAATGAGTATTGTTTAATTAAAAGATAAGGAAGTTGTAGGCCTTCTCAAGATTAATTTGTAACGATAAATCATTAAAAATTATCAAATCAAGTTCACAAAAAAAGGGAAAGTGTCAAGTACAATACATTATTCATATGAATTAAAAATAAGAGTGTATAATCTATTTGGATGTTTTCTAAATATGCTTAAAGTGGAAAATTATGCACATATCATATTGCCATAAACAACCTCTAGCAATTTCATTTCTTTTAGCTTGTGACAATCCTGTTTCTCTCTGGTTCTATAACTCAGTAATTGACATTGAAATCAAATTTCTAGAAAATCAAATTGGATGTACATATTGAAAATGTGATTATTCTACACAATACATTTGCCAAGTGCATGTTGTAGTAGATGGATGGCATCTACTACTTGGACTGGTCAACATCTCTTTATGGAGTGTTTGTCATGGGCGCAAGTACCCACGGGCATGGCTGGGTGGTGAAGGTGAAATTGCAGATCAACAGGGGAGCTGGTAGGCTCCCCAGTCGGCTAAGGACTGGGCAGTCCTTGTGTTGCTGCTGCTATTGCCGTGGTCATCTGGAGGATCGGGGAATGATGATCTCAGTTCCAGATTCTGCAGCTTAATCACACTTGCACTGTGTAAGTGTGCAGGGAACAGGGGGAGCCTGCTGTCCAATAAGTGATGACACGTCTGTGGACCTGGTGGGACCCAACCTGGCAAGTATGCTGGACTTCAGGTTGTGGGTCATGCTGCTACAATGTGTGAGCTTTTCACTGATTCACTGGATGCTTTTCAGAATCAAATCTTTTAGTACTACAAATAAACACAATCTATGTCTTACAACTGAAGAGCAGCACATAACCACATTTTATTTTTAATCAGTGTATACAATAATCACATCTGAAATACACACAATTTTTCTCTACCTTTGGTTAGGCTATGACAAGTAAAATTAATCTTGCCACAAAGTATCCAGAAATAAGTTTAAGTAAACATTAATTCACCTCCCAAAGACAAGTAGAAAATTACCATCATTTCCAATGATGGTACATTTCTAAATCCTAACCCCCCTCCCCCCAAATAGAAAGAAAAAAAAACTACACAACCATGAGCCATGATCTGCAATCACTCATGACAGCTGTCCACTCACAGAGAGGCTACATCAGAGAGCATCCACTGTTGTTTTTGTGGTCCTTCGATGACTGGTGGATGTCAGCTTCTTTGACAGGCGGGAGGTCCCCTTCTGCTTTCTGGGCAGACTTCTGTAATTCAGGGAAAATTGTATTCAGGTGACACAAATTCCAGGATGATAATAAGAGGAACATATGAAAAGAAATCTAATATAAACTTTTTACTATTCAAAGCTATTGCTATGTTAATCCAAGGTCACATAAGCATCTTACTGCCTGTAAATCTGCAATAATGTCTGCACTCTCATAGGATGCACCTTCTCAAATGTGATTTTTTATTTTACATGGACAGACTATATCACTCATAAG